CGCGCGCACGAGGTGCAGCGCGAAGACCGCGCGGTGTTCTTTAAACAACGCCTGCGTGATCTCCCCGACGACGCGGCGAATAAACGTCGCGCGCAGGGCGGCGATCTTCGTTTCCGGATCCGTTCGCAACCCCGCGTGCTCCGCCAACGTTCGACGGAAGATCCTCATAAAAAGGCGGAGGGAAAACTGATACATGTGGGAGAGCTCCTGCAGCGCCTTCGTGACGAAGAAGATGTGACTCGCGACGGTCGAAAAGGGGCGGTAGACGTCGCGCTTCGCGTCGAGCTCGTCCTGGACGAGTTTGGAGTGCTCCAACGCCTCGCTGATCTCACTCGCCTGCGTTTTGATCCGATTTAAGGATTCAATCAAGGAGGTGTTGTCGAGAAGAGACCCGGTGGAGTTCGCGAGATCCTGGAGCAGGGTCCGTTCGAGGTCCTCCAGCTGCATCTTGAGCTGCTCCTCCTTCGCGAGGATGGCGAGCTTCTCCTGCTCCAACTTCGGCTGCTCGTGCTGGATGGTAACGCTAAGAAACTGCCCTTCCAACCCGCTCCGCGTGATCGAAAAGTTAATCGGGGTGAGATAACTCAAAATATCCGGCGCAATCTCCATTCCACTCACACGGGTGATCAAATAAACCTGAAAGCCCTCCGCGTAATCGACGCTGCGGCGATCCCCAATGCTGATCACTCGTTTGGTCCCCTCATTCTGCAGTTCTCGCCGCAAAATGGGGTACATAAAAGGCTCAATGCGATCCACATCCGTCAGGATGAACTTTTTGCCAAACCGCAACGCGAGCTCCAGGGCGGAAACCAGGCGTTCCTCCGATAACCCGCACACCTCCACGTTTTCCTTCCGCTCCTTAAAAAAGTTCGTCAACCAGACAATCGCCTGCCCGGAGGGATCCTCGATCAACGGGGTGTTGATCTGCTCCTGGATGATTAGCGCGTTGTTCATCGACAGCTCATCGCCCGGGAGGCCTTGGGATTTGTAGTGCAGCTGCATGCTTTCCTCCCGAAGAAAGGTAAAAAAGTTAAACTCCGTCAGTTTCACCGTCTGCATCCACTCCGTGAGGACTTTTCGACGAATTCCGTCATCCTCGCGGCCGAGATAGGTGATGAAACCCGCCCCGAGCAGGCAACGACTCGGGAGGAGCTCCAAATCCGTCGTGAAGGTCTGCATCTGCGTTGTCCACCGCGCGTGTTCGGTGCTCAACTTCGCGAGCAACTCCGCCGCGTCGTGGCAAAGCCGCTCCGCCTGCTCGAGCTGCCCGCGCAGCCGCTCCGCTTCCGTCGTTTTCTCCGCAAAACGCGCGCGAAGCTCCTCGACGGTGCGCTCGAGCTTCCCCAGCGTACGCTCGCAGCGAGCCTTGCGTTCTTGACCTTTTTGAAGGTTCTCCTCGAACCCGCGGAGTTCCTCCCGCAACGGGGCGACCGTTTCGAGGACCTTGCTGTATTCGATCACGGCTTTCAGCCAATCCGCCATCGGCGCGGCTGCCTTCGACGCGCGGCCGATCACCTCCCGTTTAAAGGAGTTCGCCTTCGCCGCCATCACCTTCTGCACCTCCGCGCGCGTGGCGGGGTGGACGGTGTCGATGGGGTAATTCAAAATCTGCCCTTTGATATCCCCGTTGAGCATTTTTCGCAGGGACGGCCAGCTTTTATCCACGGTGTTGCCATCCTGGATGAGGACGATCACCGCCTCCATCACATCCTGCACCGCCGGAGGGGGCTGCTTCATCGATTTCAGCTCCGTCAAGTGTTCCGAGCGGATCGAGCTGACGGAGGAAAGCGCGGCGTCGAGAACGGGTTGGATGTGGTTTAATTCCTCCTCGATCAGCGTCTTCCGCTCGGTGATCGCCTGCTGTTCTTTGCTGAGTTCTTTTTGGATCTTGTGGATCCCGCGCTTTTGCTCCCCGGCTTCCTCCATCTTGGCTTGGATCTTCTTCAGCGCCTCGTCGGCCTCCGCTTGTTTCACCTCGAGGAGTTCTTTTTTCCGCGAGACGTCGGCGGCGATCTTATCGACGCTTTCCTGCGCCTCGTTCAGCTTCTCCACCCCACTCTTAAGGCGCGCGACGCTGTCAAGGACTTGTTGGTTTTTGAATTTAAAAATGTGCTCGTAGGTTTGACAAAACGCCTTAAAATGCTGAGGGGAGAACTTATCCCCAAAGTAGCGATGCATATGAACTAGCTCCGTGGTGAGGCTGAAGTCCTTCTTGCTCTTCCCGTTGACGGTCTCCAAGGTTTTGTAGACATCCCCGATGAGAAGGCGGGGGATGAGCTTCAAACTCGACGTATCCCATGTTCCCATCCAATACACGTTGCAATGGGTGAAGAGCGCGGGGTTTGCACGGCATTGCAGCTCAAATTGGGGGTTCGTCGGATCCATAATAACCGCGACGTGCAAAAACCGCGCGATGCGGTCGATAAAATAATTATACGGCGTCATCCCTTCCCCGATGGCGTCCTCTTTCAGCGGCGCGAGGATCGCATCCTGCTCCTCGGACGTAAAA